TTGAACCGATGATTGAATGAACGACAGTTTAGCGACCGTACATTTGAGCATGTCTTATACATTCCTTGCTTTGACAATTTTGAACTTCTTTGTACCTATTTCCTGCTTCCAGTTATTCAAAATGATTTTGTATATCGATAAGTTTTTCTTTGTTAAGAAAAGCTTTTGAAAGATTTATGAGGTACACCATCTGCATATGATATTTTTGATCAAAAAAATTGTCCGAAGCCTTCTGTGGAAACCACAAGTCTTCATCTTTTTCTGTTGAAAAGTTATAAAAAGGGTTTCAGAGTGCACTGTATGTTGACTCCGATACTCGTCATTTTGAAACTTTTGAAAAATTCTATCATTCAGGTATAATAAAAGAATTTTTGTATCGAGAGGTATTGCGTAAGAAAGTTTCTTCATCGTAAACTTTGAAAGAAATTATTGTTTTCCATTCTGCATGCATGAGACATCTAGCAAAAGACGCGGGAAACTCGGACAAATGGACTCGGGTTTCTTTTTGTTCGATGAAAGACGATTACTATATTACTAAGTTATTACTAAGTTTGAATGAAATGTTTTTTTTACCGTGCTAAGAAAGAAAAGGTTTAATTTTTATTTTTCAGTGCTTTTAAAAAATATAATTTTACGATGAATGATATGACATGGTGCATAACAACAAAAAACACACTGAAAAGTGGAGTGAAATCTTGTCCGATGGTTTTCAATGACCATAAAAGAAATCCAAAGCTTTATAGGAAGATATTTTATGTAAACTTGCCGTCTTAGACTCGTTCCAATCCCTTTCAGACTAGGCTCCAAACGACTAAAAACTTTACCATATCTTACGTTTTCCCTATTAATTATTCTGAAAAAAATATTTTTCTTAATTTGGTTGAACACCGAGTTGCCTGACTTTGAATGGTCTCTTTTCATTTTCCATCTAAAAACTTTTGGTTTTCGGCTGGAGATGTCAAACTATCATTATGTTCTCAAGTAACTCTTTTTAAAACTTCACGTATTTTAGCTGAAATTTTGTATTTTTTCTCTAAAATTTTGTGGGTTTTCTAGTAAAACCGACCGATTTTCGGATAAATTAGAAAAAAACAGAGCCCGTATCCGACAACTTCGTATCCGTACCGAAACTTCGTGTTGGACCGTGTAGGGGTCAGATTGCACATCTCTAGTTCCAACAATAGTTTTTGAAATAGAAACCGTCTGCTGATATAACGTTGACGACATGAACTGAAGATAACAATGAACTTTAGGGAATCCCCCATTTAGATTTTCTTTAAGATTTCCCAGTTTGTAGAGGACACTTTAAAGTATATTGTCTAAGAAAAAAATTTATTACTTAAAATCATGTTATTAAAGTTTTTAGTACAGGGCTACTATTACAAAATTTCCGGGCCGTTCCTCTTTCATCATAAAAATTTGGTCCTCATCTGGATCGATAGAGAAATGTGCGGAGAATATTTACTACGGGAAAAGAAGAAAAGACTTTTTCTATTTTCTTTCTGTTAATAACTAATTAGTACTAATTAATGTTAATTTAGTCTTCTCTACTAGCTTAAAGTCCCATGTAAAAATAACGGCGTAACAAAAATGTTCAAACAATACCTCACCTGATAGAGAATTTCTTAAGTTACAGTTTGATATATATAATATAGAGAAAACAGTGTCCTAGGGTACCTTGACAATAGAAATGTTTCTGCAAGCCACAATTCTGCTCGTAATTCTCAATTTTGTTCATCAGAACTCAACTCATATGCAATAAAAATAGCAAATTCAGCATCAGGATCAATAACTGGGTCGACCAATGTGTATTTCGAAAATTTTCTTTGATTTTCATTTTTTGATGAAAACCTTACTAATTTTTCAACGTAAAAAATCGGCAAAAACTAAAGTCGAAAGGATAAGACGAAGATATACGTTGGTCGACTCATTTATTGATCCTGATTTCGAATATGATATTTTTATTGTATAAAAGTTGAATTCTAATGAAGAAAATTGAGAATCATGAGCAGAATTGTGGCTTTGCAGAAACATTTCTATTGAATCTTTTCGTTACGCCGTTATTTTTTATATGGGACTTTAAGCTAGTAGAGAAGACTAAATTAACATTAATTAGTACTAATTAGTTATTAACAGAAAGAAAATAGAAAAAGTCTTTTCTTCTTTTCCCGTAGTAAATATTCTCCGCACATTTCTCTATCGATCTAGATGAGAACCAAATTTTTATGATGAAAGAGAAACGGTCCAGAAATTTTGTAATAGTAGCCCTGTACTAAAAACTTTAACAACATGTTTTTTAGTAAGTAATTTTTTTCTTAGCCAAATAATGTGAGCAAGCCGAAAAACTCCAGAACATATAATTCAAAGTATCCTCTACAAACTGGGAAATCTTAAAGAAAATCTAAATGGGAGGACGCACCTTAAATGAACGCTAAAAATAACTGGAAAAAATCGGTTTTCACCGATGGATCGACTCCCAACTAGACAAAGAGGTTAAATCACCCAGAGCATATCCCGATTAGAACGTTGATCAAAGTGTCGCTGGAGACATATGTGAAATCTTTCCACTACGAAAGATGATAGTGAATCTGTTCATGTTACAAAATCACCCATCGAGAAACAATACTCTACTAACCGCCATATGATGGCAAAGAAAGATTTTGACATTGTATTATTACAAAAACCAACGGTGAGAGTTTATCATTAAAGAATCTTTAGTCTTTAGAGCTTGTGCTGTTGTACTCAATAGCAAAGGTAATAAAATTAGAATTTTGAAATAGAAAAAAAACCACTAATGAACGACTGAGATTTTTAATCGATGGAATTTCCTCTTAGTCAGCAACATTTAATGGATTCTCCAAGCACTAGGATAGTCTGTCTGAGAGGTGATTTTGTCTTGTAGTTTGTCAAGCTAACCCTTCTTGTTGCTTTTTCGAACATTAGAAAGGAGAACAACAAAAGGCACAACACAATCTTATAAAATGTCAAAGATGGGCCTTACAAGGCCATTTACGTTCATTCTTCCATTTTGGTATTCTTTACTCTACTGATGTGCATGCACGGGGCAAAACAAAAAAAGAAACTATTCATTTTTTTTATAATTCTAGACAGAGTTAGTTTTCGCTAAAATTTGAGCAAATCATTGCCTTTAGTACAGTACAATATAACGTTAGAATCATCTCGGATCATGCAATAAGCTAACACTTCTAGATAAATATCTAAACTAAATACTGTTTTATTATCTTTGAATGTAGGTAGCATTTCCCATCTATTTTGTCCTTTACAAGAACATGAATTAATAGTTTAACATTTTATAATTTTTGAATCAAGTCTTACTTATATGGAAAACGAGAGTTGAAAGTTGCGTTGAAGAAAAAGCTAGAAACTAATAGCATCGTTTATGACTGGTATTACTGAAACCAATTCATATAAATAAAGCCGGTGGTAACAGACGGAACTTGGTCACGATACCGAACGAAATCAAGCACCCGAGGGAACGCTAGATTTATGTGAGCTCTTCTTTTAGATTATTTTTAATTCCTCTCTTGTACGCGCTTTCCTGTTTAGGTTTTTTTCGTACGTTTATTTAAATAAATTAGTTTCGATTTTGTTGACTTCAATCCACGACTTACACGTCTATCGATTTTATTCTAATAAGTCTGGAAACAATATTGAACAACTTGAGTGTTTTTTTATAGGCTTAGTACTCAATGTAAAAAACGTTTAAAACTGGTCCTCAAACCCACTGGTATTTACCGTAAAGCTTTTATTTTCCTTCTTTGCTATTATGATTATCTTATGTTTGTTTTTTGTTACTCTGTTTGATCGTATTCCAAAGACTCGCTCATAAGTAAGTTTATGGTTGTATTTTACGTGAATGTTTTTGATTTATGTTGATTTTCTATGTAGTTGTACAACATATTTCATGCGAAGTCACAGTGTTCTGAACCTTTTTTTATACATCCACCGCATTCCCATGCAGACGAGAAAAGTTGTTCGAGGAGTGCAGGGAGTACTCTACAAGGGGTCAGTCCTTACCAAGGGCTGGATCCCTCCAAAAATAAGACTTCGAACCTTCTATACAGGCGTTCGAGGCGTTATCGGTTTCACATCCTTGGGCGATGAGGAATCGGAAGTTGCTTGGATCCCGAACATTTCTGTTCAACTGTGGGTAACAGTAACACATGAAGACACCTACAGACAGCACATATTCACAGATAGACACTGATGGCTACACAGAGAGTATGGAGACACACACGAACAACCAAAAATAACAAGTTTGTGTGTGTAGCCGTCAGTGGCTATCTGCGGATGTCTGTGTGCTGTCTGTAGGTGTTTGTAAGTTTTATGTTTTACTATTACCCGTTTAACTGTTCGAAATTTTCTCATGGGCTTGAACCCGATAACCCCTCGAACGCTTATATCGACAGTCTGAAATATCATTTCGAGGGATCGAGTCCTCGGCGAGCGCCTAGCGAAGACGTATTTTTGGAGTACTCGAAATACCCCCCAAACAAGTAAGTAGTTGGATTATATATCGAAATAAACAGAAACGGAAATATTTACAAAATGTCCTCATTATAATAGTGTACAACGGAGAGAGTAGTAATCTTTTTAATAATCTCTGACAATGCATTTCGTAATAACAACATTATTAATACCTAGCTGAGTTAACTTACATTATGAAAACTATTACTCCCATCTGATTGAGTATCCTAAAATGAATCGAAAGAGTCAGCCAGTTATCGTCTATAGATAAATTTTGACACTGGAATGAAAAATTGTTTTTTTAGTTTTTATTTGCGAAAAAGAACTTTTAATGTTGTCTTCCTGTTTGTTTGATCACGTATTTTTATGTTTTGTCAGCACTCTTTTTTTCTCACTGTGCGATTACAATCGTTGCATCATGTGTACATGATTAACTGTTTTATTACCATAGTTCTATGCAATTTAAAACGAAATTAATAGTTTTTTTTTCTAGACGATCATTGGGCTGAGATATGGCAAACGTCTCCGCCTTACTAACTTCCGTCTTTTTAACTTATACAACGGTAAAATTAATTTCTGTACCAAATACCAAAGTAGCATTAGTCCATCGACTCATTCAACTACTCGTTTTTACTTACACAATTGCGTAAGTCAGCATAATTGTTGTGATCTTTTATTCACATTCTTTTTCTACTTCTAGTTATATTCTGTATTGGAAGAGAGGCTATCAACAAATACAAAGGCCAATTGGAATTTCCATTACAAAATTAAAATACAATATTACTGGACAAGAGGGTAGATGCATCTCGTAGTTCCAAGTTTTTTTCTGTTCCTGTGACACCTGTGTCGATTATGAGAATGACTACTACTACTACTACCGAAAATTCTGAATAAGTGATTTTAAATTGAAGAAGTTCAATAAAGTTTGTAAGTATTTATTTAGGTATGGACACTGATATATGGGATGCCACTCTACACTCTTTTCCACCAACGGTAAGGTACCGAAAAACGAAATATTTCCTTGACATTTCACTGGAAAATATTTTAGGAGAATAATGCTTTTTTCATTGTAACTCGTGAAATGTTTGCTCCATATGATATTAATTACACAAATAACAATACAGAAATGTAAGTTTTTGAGAGGTGTTGAACCCATTTCGATCAATGAATAGTTATTTCATTCTATGTAGCGAAAACCATATTAATGCGAGTAACCTAGCTCGTTTGACAGTTTTTATTAAATCGACTGTAGCATTCAATGAATTCGGCAAAATTTTGTGAGTAATCAAGTTCATTGAAGAATATATATTATAATTCTTTCTCTGAAATATTTTAGGAGAAATATTCGATCAGACACAAATTTTAGCTGTGTATATAACTCAAGAAGTAATCGATATTGTCCCATTTTTCGCATTAGCACAATCATTGATGAATGTCAAATTAGTCAGCAGAAGCACGATTCATTGTTGGAAGAGGCAAGTATAATATTACATGAAGATGATACGAAGCTTCATGTTGAAAAAATCGTTGACAGTTTCCATTTGCTCAAGTAGTTTTGCAGAAAATTAGGGTTTAATTGGATGTATTCGCAATTTAGAATCTTTTTCTGTCATGTCCGTCACGCACCGAATATTCCTTCTCACAGCCGTAAATATTACTCAAATTTTCTTATTTCTTTTTTCAGAGACAGAGGATCATGAACTGCACAAAATGGCGATGGAATCATCCTTCTACCTCCTATAGTTTCTATAAAAATTGAGAATTACTATGTCAAAAATGTCATGCCGTTACGTTTGGACAAGCCGCCTGACTGATAAATTTTTTTCCTTAGTGTTACAAAACTTGAACTAAAAATCCCAAATAAATTTAAGAAAAAAGTTGAAGTTCTTCATCTTTGACTATCCTACCACTACTTTTTCTGGATGATTGACTTGAAGAACGTCAGTTTTTAAATTTTCGTGTAAAATTTTCAAAACTTGATACTGTTGAGTGACGCTTTTCTTCATCCTTATTCTCGTTTAGATATAAGATGTAAGAGTTCTTCTTATTTCAACTCGAAACTGACGTAATATACCGCCAACATCGTAGTAGGAAGGATAGATCAAAGTACGCAAAATGTCTCTAAACGTTTTTCTACTACTTTACAGAAAGACATAGAAATTAAGTATATTAATGTCATATCAATGCGAAGCAAAAACTAAAGTTCATGAAGAGTTGTGAAAAAGTGCTTTTTCGTATTCAGCACACTCGATAATCCACAGGATTTTCTGTTTTTCGCGAGACAGATTGCCAAAAGTTTAGGAAAGTTTCCCAAATAAAATGACGAAAAAGAATTTCTGCGAGGAAATAATATTAGTTTCAAAATTTTTCTTAAATACTTAACAATACGTCTCCCTAAAAATAGAAAATCTTCTGGATTATCGAGTGTGCTGAATACGAAAAAGCACTTTTCCCCAACTCTACAAGAACTTTACTTTTCTATCCGCGATATGCCGATTAAAAGTGGGAATTATGTGACTTTTTGTCTAATCTATTACAAATCTGATGTTATAACCCTAACTTAATCTATAGATTAGCGCCTGTTAGAGAAGATAGACAAAGCGTATTCGTGTCAAAATATCCTTGAATAGATGATAAAATTAGCTGAAAATAATCGTAAGAATTGGATTTTGTCGAAATTAGAAATTCTTGACAAAAAAAAGTCTTGCGAAATCAGAACAAAATTTTACATCTGTGGTTTACATACTTTTCAGAAAATTATATTGTAACGAATTGAATTCTAGAACAATTAGTATGGTTAGTTCCTACAGAAATCTTTGCTGGTTTCCGTTTTAGGGTGGACTTATCGAAATTGGACAAGTTTGGAATTGTAATTTTGATTTTAACGAACAAAATTGTTTTCCAACATACGAATTTCGCCTGTTAGACAGCGCACCAAAGCAACTATCTCCAGGAATCAATTTTCGGTTAGTTTTTGTCTTAAAACAAAATGCTATATTGGTTTTATTTTTCTATGTTAGCTATGTGAAGGAAACATATAACTCAAATGGAACATATCGTCAGTCTGTAAAAGTGTATGGAATTAGGTTCGTTATCACAACTAGCGGTCAAAGCGGAAAATTCGACATACTGAATACATTTATGGCTACAGGTAGAAGTTATACTGAGTCACACCGGAATACTGTATGGTTGTTATTATAGGATCTGGTATCAGTTTTATGGCATTAGGCTGTATCTCGTGTGATTTCATCTTTAAATATTTGCACACTAAAAGCGAAAATTATCGAAAATTCACAACATCAGTGGCTGAGTTATCAATGAATATAATCGAAAAACCATTCAAGTCTCCTTCAACAAACCACTTCTGATAGTTTCATCTTTTAAATTACATTGACAAACAACGTGTAAAAACAGTCGTTGATCATGACAGGGATACAAGTTGACAATAGTTATTATTAGATGATGTGTGTAGAATTTATTTCACTGGTAGTTATAACCAAACGTAAAGCTAAATTTTAGAAAGACATCTTTTTATAACTTTCTTCTTAACTGTTCAGATAAAGAAGTAAAAAGTTTTAGAAGATGAGAAATGTAAAGATCTCATCGTAGTTCTGCAGTTTTTGACTGGAGTTTTATACAAAATAAAACATAATAACCGACGATTTGTAATACGAATAGCCAGTCTAGTATATTTAGTCACATTCGTTTTAGAGTAGTCTACAGTAGATTTGAGGGAATTTTAATGTTACTACTAAAGACTTGTGCTCTCAAACTGACTCCACTTAAAACTACAAAATGTATGGATAGTTTCGTCGTTGCAGTTATAGAATCATCCTTTGTTATAGTGTTACTCCATGATCAATAAGCCTGTTACACCATCAACAATCTTTGCTTCATGAAAATTAGTCTTGTAGAAGTAGAGTGTATAGTCCTGCTATTTGAAAGTAAAGATCTGATGAATATGGACTATAGTGAACGTTAGATATTCAAAGAATTTGGAATAACAATTTAATGCACTGAGGCAATCAAAACTTCGGAGTAAACTGTAGCTAATCTAATATAACTAGCATATACGGGAAGCACTTTTATCAGCAAGTCGAGCCCGTTCACATAAGAATTATATTAAACATTGGCAGTAAGTCAGTGATCGAGATTTATCTGATACAAAGCGACGAATAATACATCGATGGGATCTGTTCGTTCAAATAGTTGAAGAGCGTTCTTATAGCAAAAATGATCGATTTCTTTTTGATTCTATCTATACTTACTAGATTGCATTAGACCTGTGCGCTGCATGACACACAGGAAAGACTTTCAGTAAACGGAATTTTTGAATAATCCGAGAATGAAAAGAGTTAGACAGTTTGCGCGTTCGTCATTTAAGAGAAGAGAGTAGGGAACATCCTTTTGTAAGAGCTATTAATCCAGAAATATTTCTTTGAAGTACGTTTTCAGGTAGATCTGTGAAAAACCAGGCCATAGTTTCAAAACTTCAGGTACGAATATTTAAATTTTTTTCCATGGATAGGTAATCCAGAGTGTCCTCTTCAAAATGGGAGTCAAGTGAGGCCTTGATTTTCAGTGTCCGAGCGTGGTATTGGATTTCCCTGGAGTCGCAGAACTGGTATCTGGTGACTTAGTGTCCTCTTAAATCGCATAGAACATAGGTGATCAATCACGCTGAATCTGGTGACAATGTTTGGTTTTGAAAAAGGATTCACAAACCTAATTGAAACCGAGTTTAAATAAAAAATAACGTATAAATAAAATTACGGTTTCCAAGTTGTTCTCATCTATTATTAAAAAATTCATAACTCACTCAAAAGACATCATCAAAGTGAGCTGGATGATGGATCTCCAGGATGTACACTATTCAGGGTGCTATTCTCAAGAAATCTACAAGAAAAATTACAAATTCCAATGGCTTAACGAAAGGGTTTCTAGAAAACCTTTGGAAAAAAAACATGATTTTTGTGTATAATCAATAATCCATTGATGTTGGAGTGGTAATGTTTTAATACCAATATTAATCGTTTTTTGAAAATTTTCTTTCGCATCTATATAGTGCTCTGTTTTGAACTTTATAATAGCAATATTGTCATAAACAGCTGATATGTTTTGTGAAGAACGATTTATTCTTTCAAATATTTCTTGAGATCTTGAATAATCACCCGTACGATAATAAATTAGACCTCGATTATTACAAATTTTTCTATTAATTGATAAATGATTAACTGTTAATGATTTTCGTTATGAAATCAAATATCTCTTTGGAAAATGTCGATGCTGATGAGGTATTACACAGTAAAATTGAAAATGCCCTTTTTGACGATTCAAATAGTGTTGCATATACCTCGAACCATTTATCGGCGTAAAAAGTTTTGTTGCAAGTGGTAAATTTGCTGAAAAAATGCATGACTACAAAATAGGCTGTATTTTTTGCTACCTCTATGGAAAAACAATGTTTTCCTCAGATTTTACCATTTTCAAATTTGCAACCGCATATATTCGCAATTTCGGACCTTTTAGCTACCGATTCATAAAAAAGTTTTTTTTTGGAGACTTTAGCGTCAGAAAACAAATTTTTCTTTCTACTCTGAGTGCTTTCCGAAGAAGTATGCTCGGTATAATGAGTTTCCAAATGTTTCCGAAGCTCCAAACTGATTGAAACGTTCACAGAATATTCTTCTTCTCATAATACATCTGTACAATTAGCATAAATGATCCTGGACTGACTTATACGTTTTCCAGAAAACCTTGTCCAAATAAAATTCATTTTTCTCACTCCAGAAGCACTTTCATCAAAAACTAATGGTATATTTAGAATTAGCGCATTGAACTGCACCGAACGATATGTCAGTTCTTGTTGTTTTCTGCGCAAAAAATCGTTCGATTTAATGAGATGACAGATTTGCAGCATTCCCGTAGCAATTTTGGCTAGGTACATGGACTGTGGACATTTTATCAGGTTTTTCTCTGGAAAATCTGACTAAAAGTGTTTGTAAATCACACTAATGGAACGAGAGCATACGAAACCTAAAACAATAGTATTTAGAGGCTTTCGTATCGCTTTTATGGCACATGTCTACGTGCCTAGGTTAGAGGTCTGGGGGAGGGAGGGACTTTTTACGGGACCGGGACCAAACTTCATGGAACGAGGACCTAGAGAACCGCGGGACCGTTCCAGTCCTACGGGATGGCCTTGGTTCTGTAGGACTCTTAATGCGATCCGCACCTAGTCTTTCTGAAAATAGTTGTATGGAGCATAAAAATTTCTTAGTTTCTGTGCTTGTTTGTATGTAGGCACCAGTTCTGCGCGAAAGAACTCATAGAAAATTCTAAAAGTCTTCAATACCACTCACGCATGCTGTTCCATGATCCACTTTACAAAGCGCTGAGTTTCAAACTATCAGCGCTACTTTGAAAAAATATTTATGGGATCGGGACCGGAACCAAAGTTTTTTTTCTTCACGGGACGGGAACGGACAGGGACCGAGATCAAACTTCATGGGACCAGGCCCAGCAGAATTTGGTCCCGCAGGCCAAACCTACCCAAGCTCTAGCCTAAGCAAAACTGCCCACTGGGTACTGATAGTTTGATGCAAGTGGTCTACAATAGCTTCACGGTATTATACATGATAATGGTTTATAGAAAAAAACCTTCATTTTTTGAGTCACAAAACTTGACGTTCTGTCACTAACCTGAAGGATGAATAGATTGACGAAAGACATCCGATCCTTGCATGACTATCAACTACTGTCGGTTTACAAAAAAGATCTACTAGACCATTTTTGATTGACGATAGCTGGAAAGTATATTTTTGATTCTTCAGTTTTCCATATGCTTTGTGCAATTAGACAATTAAAAACAAAAACAAATTTTGCCCCCAGTTGCCTTCTCATTTTCCGATCATTTTTCTAAAGGACTTTCTGTTAACGAGTTAAAATATACAGGTGATACTTCAGTCTAATTGATGACGTTTTAGTGAAAGTTCTTGACATCATAACGCTTGAAACAAATCGATGTACGTCGCCGAGTGAAGGCTGGTTTTCATATTTCAGCATGTTTGCAAGCATAAGTCATTCAAAATGAGAACTTTAAATAGTGTACTACTTTGCTTACATTAAAAATGAATAGTATATCACAAATACAAGCACGAGTAGAGAGAAAGAATCTGCAGTGAGCCATATTCTAATGTACTATTAGTAAACAGTAAATTAAGTGGTCTCATTACTCACATAACTGTTGGCTAAAGCGATTTTCGTGTAATGATAATGAAATTATAAGTAAGTGAAGAAGCTAAGCAAATAGAACGATAGAATTTAATAGAATTTAATTATATTCTCTCAACTAATTAATCAATTATTATAAAAAATTCTTTTCGTTTATTTAACATTTTTATTTGAATTCTATTTATGAGTATCATGTTCTATTTTATGTTTGTTGCTGTATGAATTAGCAGTGACTGAATAGTTCGTTTGTCATGGAGGAAAAAGAACGATGTGTGGATTTCATGAGAGCTGATTAACCGTCATAATACAGAAGAATTCTTTTATATAAAAATAGCACTAAAAATGGTTTCATCATAATTATCCATAATTAGAGAAAGAACGAGACAAACAGATAAAATATTATCTTTCTCTTGTTTGGGTATAGAAAAAAAAACCGAGTGTTGCGTTTCAATTGAAAAACGTACTCAAATTGTATTATTATAAGTAAGAAATAAGAAAAAACCAAAAGGAATAATCAAGGCGGAAAAATATATAAATAAAGTATAAATGAATGTAACAAAAAATATTCGCAGGAAGTTTAAAAATAAGTGATGTTGATGAATAATAACTCACGAAATGTTGTTATCGCTTTGATTTACTTAGTCTAAAGTAGGACGATAATCATAGAGAATACTGCTTATTTTTAAACACAGTCGACTTTTATGACGCAAAGCATAAGGTATAACATGGGCATTCAGAGTAAACAAGGAAAAAAAAAGATAGTACTCTTTATAATGTAGAAGCAGTATGTGTTATTGATCTGCTCACCTACTTCAGTGACAATTTTAGCGAGAATATTGCTGCCTTAGATGATTTTACGTTTAGATATTACGCAAACAATCCATCGCCGTGGCCTGCATCTTCGTCTTGCTATGTGACCCTGACATTTTCTCTCTCACTGTAAACCCTTATTGTCAAGGATAATCATCTCGGTTTAGAACTTTTTTATAAAAAAA